AGTCCTGGAGAGTTTTAGATTGTTTTCAAGTAGTGGAAAAGGTGTTGAGAGGATATTGTGTTCGTTATTAATTGAGCTTCGATTATCTGTGCTGGTACTAAGTGATCTGAGACATATTAAATATTGGAACCACACCAAAATAATTAAACAGGAACGTTTTTAATGTACCTTTCCAGAAAGATTACATTGCTTTTTCCTCGCCGTTTACTCAACAAAGTGAAATATTATGAAATCGTCAGGTGTAGTTGAATGAGCAACGGTTACATGGACCCTGATGAAGGGACTCTAATAAACATCAACTTATACCATAACTGAAACTTAAATACAGTCCTTCTCAATGGGTACTTAACAGGGCAATAATAACAACAACGTGTAGTTCCAGTTAATGACATCAGAAAATCTTGGTACTCCAGAAGTAGAAGAAATGGCATGCATGGAAAGTACTGCATTTGGTTTAGCTACGTGTGCGAAACTACCAGCTACTTCACAAGGTTTTCTAGTCAAATAAAATTGCTACAACTAGCAATATTATTCTCTTTTCCGTTTCTTATTTGATGCAAGAGTGGCAGTGCCAAGTCGTGGTGTGGACTGCTTGGAGATTGTCGCATACTGTATGATACCGCCCAGCACATCCATCACAGGTAGTGACAGACTCGGGCCACTTGGGAACCAGTACAGCTCCTTTTGGTTGCTGATTTGGCAGATTGGATGGACACAGTCATGTTCATAGCAACATACTAAGAAAAAAGCATGGCATAGTTTTTTGGTATACCAGGTACCATATGTCTTCTTCTCACATCCGACACCTGTATTTGGCAAAAGAGGTAAGTGTTCTCATTCTTAAGCTCCAATTTTTCCTTCTTTGTACCCTTTAAGAATGTACTTGACGTTTTTGATACCTTTCCATAAGTGTATAGGTGTGCCAGCACAAGGGGACAAATCAACTCAACTGATATAAACGTCTACTGCTGTTTTGAGGTTCTTGCACAGCATCTCATCATTAACAACTCCATTTACTACGCATGAACTGTTTAATGTGGAAGGAGTGAATAGGTTTGCATGCCCCAAAGCCCAGCAACCATTCTGGAGCTCTACTCGATTTTTATAGCTTGACCCACTGGTCCTAGTCGTTACAAGTGTTGCTTGACTTCCTTTTTTGAGATACCGTTTCGTCCAGTTGTAACACTTTAAAGCAGCACTTGGAAGTGACCCAGATAATTAAGATGATTTTACTGATGATACAGACTAAATGAACAGGACATTTTGAATGCAATCTTTTTTAGGTTATTTTTTTTATTTAGTCTGTATTATCAGTGAAATCACCATCAGTATATATATTTTGACTGTGAAAGGTTTTAACTCAGGAGTCATTTCAAAAGTAGGTTGAGTTTGATCGTCCGGGTAAACCTAGTCCTGAATAGGACTGTTATTGTTGACAGTGACTGACGTTTCGACAACCATTGCAGTAGTCATCTTCAGAGTCAAAGTGAGTTGTATTATGTCAGTTGATGGTATTATACTCTGGTATTTGATCTGATTGGTCAATTACCTCGCAATGTTATTGGTTGTCTGTCAGTTAAGCCGTGATGTTATTGCCTATGAAGACTCGTAATCAGTAATTGGTGTGTTTTGATCCGTCTATTGTCACAGTTAAACAGTCGTTGATTGTTAGTCAAATTGTCGGTTCTCCAGTCGTTGTCTCGTAGTTTTGCTTGATCTCGTCAATAAATCGTTTGTACAGTGTTGGTAACTGTTGGCTACAATTCAGTGGGGTTTGTTCTAAGTTACTAAACCAGCTTTCTAAAGTAAGACGTGGATAGTAGTCTGTATAATATGTTATACATGTTGCAGAGTCCCAGTCAATTTGATATTTTGTCTGTAAATGGTGCTCAGGAATGTGATTGTTGACATCACCATTCCTCGTTGCTCGTTCGTGTTCGGTCAGTCACGTGCTTAGGTTTCTGCCGGTTTCACCAATGTAAGAAGCCTGGTAGTCGCTGCATTTGATCTTGTATACTGCTTCCAGTCTGTCCTCCGGTTTGTCTTTGTCCTTGACATTAATAAGCAGTCACCGTAAAGTGGTTATCAGTTTGTGTGCAAGACATATATTGTAAGGCTGTAATTATATATATTTTGTTGGGTTTTGGTATATTTCTATTTATATTAATGTTTCTTGTTTAGATTATTTTGAAAAAAAATAACTAAGCCAGAATTATTATTATGGCCAAGTGTAATTATAGGAGTAGTTTTATTTCTAATGTATGTATACATATCTGCTTAAGTAATAAATTTGAACCATGATAATTCATGGCCCACCCCCAATGTATGGCATGGTTTTTCTTGTCCCACCCCTTTTTTCATGCACAGGAACGATGGCCCACCCCCTCCTGTACTTTATGACCACTCCTTATGTTTTTTTGATGCACAGAGGAAGTTTACAGCATAATAACTATCAACAATTATAATTGCCAGACATTTATTTTTACAGTGCAACCTCGTTAATACGGCACCACTGGGCCATGAAAAACTTGCCATATTAACAGGGTAACCTTATTAACCAGGGAAAATGACTGAAGTTCCTTAAGTTTGGGTCAAGATGATGTGGTCATAATAACAAGGTGACTTTATTAATGGGGTTGCTGTAAGGCAGGGTTCCACTGTATAGATTGCTCAAATTTTGAACTAGTTGTGCCCGTATTTTTCTCCTGAATCCTTTACCTAAGGAGAGAGGCACTCAGGCCATTTTTATTATCGGTTTTTTGGTCTTCGCATCGAAAGTATACAGTTTTACCATTTAATTCCTTCCTTTTTTAGCAGATGGTTTTCGATTCTCAACGAACATCGAAGCAATTATTCATGTTTGTTATTTTGTGCAGGTTCAGGTTTTATGTGAGAAGAAAATTCCCGAAAAGAGGATGTGGTTTTTTGCTTTTGTAACAGGCCTTATTTTCACATAAGCTCGGATTCCTTTGTTCTTTTCGGGGGGAATATATTACATAACCCCCGAATCAACTGTCTGAAAAGCTGGGCGTGGCTTTGATTGTTTGAAGGGAAGAGCGGGGCTAATGACCAGCTAATTAAAATGCGAGGGGATTATGCATTAATATGCAAGGGGGATAAGTGACTTATCCCCCTTGCATATTAATGCATAATCCCCTCGCATTTTAATTAGCTTTTCGTAAAGAAAAAATTCACAAATGTTTATTGGAAATATTAAACACAACGCTTTCATTACTAAAATTAAACTGAACTGCGTTTCTTTTGGGCCACATTCACGGATTTTCTTAGAGGTTGGTTCATCGATTTCCACAGCCAGAACGACAGTTCGAAAATTAACAGCGTCTTTAAAATTCTACGGTTCCACGAAAGTGTCGCTGTCATGGTAAGGTGTTCCGTTCTCAAACCAGTCATCCCAAACTCGTGTACTCCATGAAGAGATGTAGTTGACCTCTTTGTGTTTTGTGGTATTCTTGCTTCATTCCTCGGCTGAATTTCCTTGTGAGTTACAGTAGTGATCCCTTGCCTGGAATCTTCTTTGCATGTAAACATGCAGGTCGGTCGAAAGATTCGGTGTGAAAGTTTAACTTGTCAGCTGCTTGCATGTTTTCTACACCCGCAAATTAAGATTCAAATTGTTTTTGTAAAGGTCTTGCAGTACCGCCACTGAAGCTGCTTTAGTTATTTGACTAATAAACGGCTCTACTTCTGGCTCTGAATCGCTCGACACTACTAGGCTCTTTAGGCTGTTTCTAGCATTCACTGTGAACAACTAATTTGAAATGCGACTTTGAAAAACTAACATAATTAAAAAGGCGAGAAACTTGTGAATGCCACCAGTGCTAGATGGAGTGTTAAAAAACAAAAGAAAGATGAACAATAGCAGCATTTTTCGTCAATGTATTTTTGCATCCCTTGTTGAATCCTCCCCAGTGTAAAAATAAGCCGTTTATCAGCCTTCAGCTTGTGGTTATGTGATTTATTCCCCTCGTGCCCGAGGGCAATGCACGAGGGGAATAAATCACATAACCTTGTTTTTGCGAAATTCCCTTTTACCAAGAAAGGTCATGAGTTCCTCTTCATCATCGAAGATAAAATTCTCCTCTGCACCAATTGCTTAAAAAAGGAGACATGGATTTCCACCATGCTGTGTGCATTATGCACTGCCTCACTTTCTTAGCCATATGCTTCATATTTTCTTTATTTCTGGTGTTGCCGATCTTGTACTCACTGTGCACTTCCTTACTGGAAAACTGTTCATTGGAAAGGGGGTTGTTTTAAGGACAGTGTGTGCTTGCTCCACAGGGTTTCTTTTGCTGTGGTATTCAGCAAATGACTTCTGGGTGACAGTCTTGAATTAAAGCAGTCTTGTCAAACGAACTAACCACATTCTTACTAGAGGATGCACTGGAGCCTGTCTTTCGAACATTGCTTAAACTCTTGTTACCCTCTCCTTCTTCCAAAATGGTCTCCATTTTCAGTCGTGGTCTGGTAAAATGATCTTTTGCCAAGTTTTCCCTGGTTTTTGAATGGGAGGGACATCAGCATAGATCTTACGTAGGCCAGTGTAGTTTGATAACAAATTGCTTCACACCAGTGCACAGGGTTTTGTGGAGAGACAAACAAGCGTTTCTTCCCCTACCAGAATGGTGCCTCCTGGCTTGTTAAGTCCCTTCCTGATAATTCTGTGTATAGTTGAAGCAAGACGACAGGCCGATGTTGAATCCCTCAGGAGCCAGAGCTTTTACTGTTCCTCTTGCTTGTCTCATGATGGTATTGTTGTCCGCAGCACAGTAGAGCACAGTATTGGTTAGTCTGGGATGGCTTTCTAAACCATTACCAGTTCTGTCTACTCGATCTCCTTCTCCAAAGGAAAATTTCAAAATAGCAGCAAGGTCTGGGAATTCTTCACATTTTAACCTTCCTCCCCTTACTTTCAAGATGTGACGAACCTTTTCAAATTTCATACATTGAAGAAGGAGATTCCTCTTGTTTTTCTGTGCTTAACTAAGTAAACCAGAATGGGCCATTAATTTGTTTTTCATGTCCTTAAAAAGTTCCAAATTCTGACCCACCAGACCTTTAGCCCGTTGAAAATTCCTTTTGTCCTGTACACTTGTTAGTCTAGTCATCAAATTGACACTTGTCACCTTAATCAACACTGGCTGTAGGGTATCTCTGTCTCGGTGACTGTCTAGATATTCCATTACTGTCTCATAATTAGATGCAATCGCCTCCTCCACTTTTTGGTTGACAGTTATTTGATCATTTCTCTGATTATTCTTTAAAGAGTCCACGGTCTTCTTGATTTCGTGGCCGTTATTTTCTAAAATATCCCCCCTTCCATCTATACAAATTTGAATGAGGTTTAAATGCTTGGTCAACAACTCCAGCAAGCTTGCAGATTCAATGCGAGTTGACTCCTTCAAACCTTTCACTTCCTTATACTTCTCTGCAAGAACCCAAGTGGGAATGATACGCCCGTTTTTCATTATGAAGTAAACAATGAAGAAGTCAATCAGAAGTGTCAGTACCGTTGTCAGCTATAATTTTTGACATTTTAAGTTTTTTGGGGGTATGCCCCAAGAGTGACAGATGTATTGAAAATGTCTGAAAGAACTAGAGATATGTTGTCGCTTGAGTAACTAAGAAGTTGAGTAGGACAGGAGTATAAGCTATGCGATTTGCTGTTTGCTATGGGTAAAATTTGAATTTTAACTTTAGATCGAGTTACAGGTTTGAAGCAAAATGAAAGTTCTGGCAATGAGTAGGACAGGAGTATAAGCTATGCGATTTGCTGTTTGCTATGGGTAAAATTTGAATTTTAACTTTAGATCGAGTTACAGGTTTGAAGGAAAATGAAAGTTCTGGCAATTTGGACTTTCTTAGGTACTCTCTAAAGGGGCGCTCTGCCGGTGATAATTTGCTTGCTTAGTTGTTGCCAACATTTGAAAAGTGTTTATTTAAAATATTAGGTAAACGTGAGGAGTCATTAGTAAGGTTATTGTTGGTATCTGGGTCTTAGTTTTACACTTTCTTTTGCAGCGATTTAATAACCCATTTTTTCCTTGTCATGTTTTTTTCATAGTAGTTAAATTATCATTAATAATAATCAATACTTTATTTATACTACAAAAGATAGATCAGCTAAGTTTAAAAAAAACAGCTGGTATAAACCTATTTGCAATAATAAAATATTTGAAGAGTAAAAAGAAAAAACGATAGTACGTAGTAAAAAAGAGGAAAGACTAATATTTTATTATTATAATATTTTTACCATAAAAAGAGTGTTAAAAAATCAAAATGAATTAACCAACAATGTACATTTATGTTGTGTTTTATCTTGTTCTTGCAAATACTCAAATGTCTTTCTTTTAAAAGATCCTAATGTTAGGCCATTAATCCATAATTCATTAGGTAACTCGTCCCAATCCTTTGCTCCTGGGAATTTAAAGGTAGACTGGCCAATAGTGGATTTGACTTTAGGCAGATGAATTTCTCGTCTATCTCTTAAGGTTCTACCGTGGCATTCTGATCTCAAGGTCATATAATTATGAAGTTGCGTAAGGACAGACAGAGCTGATTGTTGACAATTTTGAACACTAGCTGAAGACGCACAAATCTTCGCGTACTAGATAGTGTTAAAAGTCCTAGTTTGTCTCTCATTCTTTGTGAATAAAAAACCTTCAGCGATTCTGGCTGTACTTGATGGCTATCACGAGCTGGGTCTCCAGTGGTAAGCTTAAGTAATTACAGTATTGCATTTGATGTTTTTTTTTCTGGTTTTAGCGGAACTCCACGCGCGCGCGAGACGGAGCCCCATAGCTAAGGAAATGTGGTAATCTACCCATCCGAGAAAATTTGGTAATCACGTGACCGTATGACCGTCCGTCTGCACCACAGGGAAACCAATGTTTACTCTCGCACTTTCTAGCTAGTTTGGGAGCCCAATAGAAAACTAATTGCACATCAATGTTGTGATCAATATTATTGACAGCTGTCAAAACAGGATATCTGGTAACCAGTATCACCTGACTGTCCCGCGGGCTCAAGTGTCAACCCACTGAGGTCGAGTACTTTTTTGAAGTTATCCGCTGACAAATTACCAGTTTCAAATGATCGCAGGTTCAAGTCTATTTTTTCCAATGATTCATATGAAATATGTTGTGTTTATGTCACTATGGCCCCGCACTGTCAAGATTTTGATTTCAAACTGACCTCGGAAGCGAAAATTCAGCCACTTCTTTTTAAATAAAGGCGGGGAAGACTTTTCTTACCATGGTCACGCGTTGGTCACGCTCTACGTCCAATAATTTTTGTACTCTGATTGGTCAAAATTGACAGGTGAGTTGATGCGAAAAATTTATGCAGCATCTTGAAAGTTGTTTACTTTGACAGCAAAAGCTGACAGAGTTTTGTGTCAACTTGTGATGTTTTTAACTGTCTTTTTCCACCGGATGTACAAAATGAAATACAGCTGCTATCAAGAGTCAACTGTTAAGCTGATAGAGAGACTGGGAGTCAGTGATATGAGACTATTTTCTTTTTTGTAGTTCAATAAAGACACCTTAGTTCAAGAACGACAACAAAGTTCAATAACAACTACATGAGTTCAGAAAATGACATACGCATTACTAGAACCTAGTTAAAATTCAGTTTTCAACACTCCGTAGTTAAACAAAGACAGAAAAGTTCAAGAATGATAATATAGTTCAATAACTACTACATGAGTTCAGAAACTGACATAAACATTAATGTTCGTTTATTTAGTTAATGTCAAGGAAGGGGGTCCATCGGGACTGGTCATATGGGGAGTCGGTTTAATTATAGCATATTTTTTATTTTTTTAACATATTCGGACTGTACGTTATTGGCAGATATGCCTAGTGACATTGTTCATCCTTAGAAATCTTTTGGGTTTGCTCAGTATTGCCTCATCCTCTTGCTTGCTTAGTTTCATTCTCCAGCAAACATAGCTTTGTGGCAAAATCCCAGAAGGCGTGTCTCGGCAAAGCCGCAGTCACCCCACGGCCACAGGCGGCCCAACACTTTAGCCTACTTGTTTCACTGTCTATACTGATATATTCTACAACGCTCAGTCATTGTTATGGTTTATTGCAGATGGCTTTTTGCAGATAGATTAACAAATTCTCATTTAGTTATTGGTTATTGATTCAAGAATAGACATTTGTATATAGGTTGATAGGTTCTCATTTAGTTACGGGTTATCATTTAGTTACTGACTGCAGAAGAGAAATTTTTATTGAAATTATTTTGTTGATGCACGTGAAGTTTTAAAGTTGTAAAAATAAGGGGCTGTATATTATTTTTCTAGTGGGGGAGGGAGGGGGGCGGGATTAGTTTGTGGTGTAGTTTAGGGAGTTGGTGTGGAAAACATATTATCAGATCTAAGAGATGCTGAATACGCGATATGGGATTATACTGATAATAATGTCCATATTTATAGAGATGTTAACATGTAATTTGGGGTTATAATGATGTTACCATGTAATTCGGGGTTGTATTGTCTATATTTATTTTCTATACCTGGATTTTTGTATATCTATCAATCTCTTTTATTAATTTAATTTTATCTGACACGTTTCAAAATAAAGTGCTTCCTTGAGCGGGAAAACTCTGTGGATGGTGAGGACAGATACCAGTGCATGGTGGTGAAGAATGTTTGCTGTGTAAGGTGGAGGGGGTGCCTGTCAATTGGAAGCCTGTACAGAACCAGTGTGGGGTGATAGATTTCACAAAGATAGTGGTGTAGTATAGGAAAACGGAGGATGGAGGCATAGGTGTGGATACGGGGGAAAAGGAAAAGGTTCTTCGGGTTGCGAGAAATTTGTTTATTTTTGCTATATATTCAGTACAGGTTCGACTTAGGAGACAACTATTAAGGACTTCGTATACTATTTTTTTACCAATAAAAACGATTTGTAATGGAAAACTCGATTTGTACAATAAATTTTAACATAATTCATGCTGTTGTTTAAATTTCTTATATCTTTCTGTTTCTTGCCAAAATGTGGTTGGCCAAGCGGCCTAGCTGCCCTGCCATTAGCTGTAGCTGGGCAGCCACCCGCTTGGCTTGTATGGTCGCACTCCTAATTTCTCTTGCTTTTTGTTTCAATTTTTCCTCCATCTCCTTCAGGTCCTTTTCCTTCTTTTCGAATTCTCTCTCTCTTTCTTCTGTTTTTATCGCTGCCAGGAAGCTGCGTACCTCAAACTCCTCCTCTGGGGATAGTTGCAAAAGTGATTAACCCACCCATAATAACTTTTCTATTATTTGTTAGCTTATCTTTCCCCGGACTGTACGATAATGTGATACCATGAGCTCATCCTTTTAAACAAAAAGCATCTTATCTCAACAAAATGTTGAAAGCCTTGTCTCATCAGAAGCTCAGAAGGCAATCAAGGAAACAGGTTAGGGAGGGGAGGGAAGAGAATGTGCCGTAGGAGAATGGGGCAGGTTTCGGAGAAAACCTGTTTCCACACGTTTCGACGCCATGATGGTACCATTTGGCTGAGCCCTACATGTCTTTTGTTACTTAAAGATGCTCCTTGCTTTATCTAAAAATCTCATACCTGGATTTTGGGCTGTTTGGCCTTTGGGCAATTTGGTGTGTCCATGCCGTTGGTCTATAGCGGGAGAGGATGAGTAAAATTTGGTCTAGTTCTTTATATTATTTACAAATTTAGTATTTCTTTTTGTTAGTTCAATAACCACACAGCAGTTCAATAAGTACACAACAGATCAATAACCACACCAGTAGTTCAATGACCACACATTAGTTCATTGAGCGTAAACTACATGTAGCTGCGGGAAAAATAGCCACAAATACGTTAGTTATTTTTAATAAGAATGTATAGCATTAAGTAAGTGGTAAATACTCATTTAGCTATGGTACGAGAACTAAATAGACAAATAGCTATGTTACACTGTTATTAAGTTCTAGTGAGCTCACTTATATAGACGGGAACATAGGCTGATGTTAATTTAAAAAATTTTTTGTCTGCTTAGAAAGTCTGTCATTTTCATCAGGGGCACAGTGAACAGACCTGGAAACAGAGTCAGCGCCGAAAAGGGAAAACACAGACTCGGTCCGGAGAAAACTTCAACTAAAAACCCGACAAAGCGCGCGTTGATAAAGCAGAAAAAAAGTAAACAGTTAACGGTGGATGAAACCTTGTTTTTTTACTCTCTTTTCGCACGTTTCAAAACAGTGGTACCACAGCTGGCCCTACGTGCCTAAGTCGACTACCATCAATCTATGTTTAAAAATAGTTATTTTTTACCGTACAATTAACATCAGTCTATGTTCCCGTCTATATTAGTGAGCTCACTAGAACTTAATAAAAGTGTAACATAGCTATTTGTCTATTTAGTTCTTTAGTTCTTTAGTTCTTTGCGGCTGACAAAATGGCATGAAACTTTCCACCTATGTATAAGTAGTATCTATGTATTACTGTGGGACATGAGATTGCC